TTTGCGCCCCTCCCTCACCTGGAACGCGAGGCCTTTTGATGGACTCAAGGCACGCGCTGCATCTCCTAGAGAAAGTGCTCGTTGACGTAGGAGGGACCGAATCACAATTCTTGGCCACGTTGCGAAAACGGATGGTCGAGTCACAACTCCCGGTGCAAAACACTTTGGAAAATGACCTACAACTTTCACGGCATTTGGAAACGGACGGCAACAAGAAGCCCATGGATGGGCCGGGTCCTGTTAGCAATGAGTAGTTGTTGATTCGTGCTGGAAGCTATCACAATGTGCGATCACTTTGCGGAAGTGCTCGTCATCAATTGTTCATCCATTCAAAGGTCCAAAGATACTGTTATCTAAGGCGGGTCTCCCCTGCGATGGTATGGTCCAGTTGCGTTGCTGCTCTAGGCTGATTGACACAGGGACTGCAATTTAACTCGAATAACCACTATACTCACCCCATGGTGCTTTCTCCGAGCACTGGCTTATTCCTCCCTGACGAAGTGTCGGAATCCCGGTGGCATTATTGCACCAGCCCAACTACTGCAGCGCGCCTATCAGGTTCGATATCTCAAAAGGTACCCATGTCAGGTTAAGTTGGAGTGTTCGTCCATCTCTTACATCCAAGTTTCTGGGTTCTGGGCGTGGCAGAAGTTTGCTCACCGACATTACTGTGTTCCGATTTCTCTTCTTTCCTTTGCGTGTGTGTGGGCGGGCGCGTGGAAAGGCGTGTAACTTTGCGGAATACTGAGAAAAAATCATACTTCATTGACAATTAGCAAGGATGGAGGCTGTAAGATTGCATGACTTCGCCGCTGTCAATGTGGTTTCATGGAGGGATTTCCGCCGATTGTCCTTTCTAATCATTCCACATGGAAATCAATGAGGACTTAACCCCCTCTTTGCCAAAGTCTTGCTAATTGTCAATACATTGGAAAGTGAAAAGATCTTCTCGAAGGAAAGAATACGTCTTGCAAATTGGTCGTCACAAGTCTCCATGCGCAACAAGGCCTCTGACGTAGATGCTTGGCATTGTAAGTGTTGATTCGACAGTGGCTTCAGGGATGAGGCGATGACGTCGGAATCTCGTTTCGTATAACAACCAACCCTTTTACCAAGTTTTTCTCTTATATCTCGCTCATCAGCACTTCTCCCTCCAAACGGCCGGAGCAGCCTACGACAGCTTCGCAGGATATGCCCTAATCCCGAACCGAGCAACTCAGGCTACAATCGTTCAAGGCCAGATCCTCCACAATTGGATAATGGATGTAATGAAATCTATACTTGGAGGAGGCACGAATGAGAACGGTGTCGACAATGATACACCCAATAATGGCAGCGATAAGATGCCAAGTAGAGAAGAAATGGTCAAAACGATTGAGAGTCTTCAAAAGGCTCAAAAAGCTCAATCCAAGGCCAATGACTTGAAATCTAGAGCCATGGCACTGACCGACTCAAAGCAACGGGAGAAGTTGTTGAAGGAGGCCTTTGACAAGGAGGTGGAAGCCCACGGGCATAGCAAGATGGCGAGACGACTGCAAAGTGGCACCTGGCAGGGTTTTGGATTTGGAGGAGGAATTGGTGCAGCTACTGGATTGGGCCTCGGTGCCGGAGTGGGAACGGTGTTGGGTGCTATCGCAGCAGTTCCAACAACGGGATTGGGTATGTTGATCGGAACCGGCGTTGGTGCTATCCATGGACCGTGGGTAAGGCTGGGTGGGAAAGAGGAGAAGTTTGAGGACGCTGATCCCGAAAAGGTGGCCGAGGCATTAGAACAGGAGGTCAGCCAACAAAACAACTCCGACGTTGAGCAGAGAGCAATCGCAGCAGCATCGGAGACAGACATGCCGGAGGACAAGGAGAGAAGGGACGAGAGACCACGAAGAAAGCCGCCAAAGCTGGAAATCAGGTCGAAAAGGGCCACTGAACCCAACACACAACCGCAAGCAGAAGTCAACCTGACACAAAGCATCCAGGAAGAGTCGAAACCAAGGCGGAAGCCAAAAAAACTAGAGATACGGTCCAAGAATTGCAGCACAGAAAGCCCATCTGAACTCTAGAGACCTTCTACAGCAGTGACTCGATAACGATGTATACGAAGGATTCCGCCCACTTATGGTCTTGCGAGTATAGTAATGGATCAAACAAGCTGCTACTCTAGAGGGAGACTCGAGTGATTGGGACTGGTGATACCCAAGACCTTCTATTCTTGACTCAGCTGGAGCATGCTGGACATCGGCTAGACACGGTGTCTGCAGGGCAGCAACATCTTGAAGCAGGGGAAGATGCTGGGGGACCCCTCCCAAAACCATCCTCGCCGTGGTGATGTTTAACGGAACCGTTGATACCTCCAGTGCAGTGCGGTTACTATAAACGCAGCCTGACGCACTCCTTCCCCAAGGTGGTAACGTTTCATCTCCTAATACCCTCAAACAGGAGCAATTTTGCACATTTCTCTCCGCCGAACGAGTTCGTGAACTGCGTCCGAGGGTCGGACACCTTTCCCGTGGGTAAGAGCCATTATATCCACCCTTTCGGAAACTCGTAGTGCAACACCGTTGATTCCTTTGGCCTCATATAGTGTTGATGTGGTCGACAATAGTAGAAACAGTAAGTTGGACAGAGGACATCGTGAGGCGGATTCGGGATTGAGCGAGAAGTGAACAGGCGGTAAAGGAGGCGATTTCCACGAAGGAAAGACGTCTTTCTAGGTGCGTAGTGGGAGTAATGAAGCTACGTCCTCTAGGCCTGACTGACCGTACCACTCTTATTATGAACGGAATCGATCGATTGTTGAGCAGACACTTTCTCACCACTTCAGCGTCTTTGATCATAGATGACGTCCATGATCCCCATCTTACAGCCCGAAATTGTGGCCATAGGTGATAAGGCGTCTGGCACTGTTGGCGCTGAGACGACTGAACGCTGATACACAAGTCGCAGTACGCCACCCGGTTCGATATCGCTTGAAGTGGATACCTGTAAAGGGTGGTGAACCTTGCCATATTCTCCGCACGAAGTGACCTGGTCATGTCTTGCAGTTTTTACCGATGGGGTGTGCGGATCGACTGAGCCCAAGTGCCCTCTCGGCTTCTGTTTTCGTTTTTGACCCCAGTCGTCGAGCTCAACTAAACCTGCTTCACCCATGGGCGATGAACGAAGCCGCATCTGGCATGTTCATCTTGTTCTGGGGTCGATATTCTTTTTTGAAACTTCATCAGCCAATCCAAGCCTTCCTACCCCTGGCGCACCAAAGGACTGTAGTAGAATTCCACGACAGGCTTCACCGTCGTCTCGAGGTGTGGAAGGTTCGTCGCGAGATGGAGGTGTTGGTGCCAAGTCATCTCCGCCGGTATACTCTTCGGCGGAGAACATATAGCAGGCTTCGACATAGAGGGCAAAACAATCGCGCTCTTGGTACTTTAGGGGTTCATCATTTCTGGCCACGGCTCGAAGTCGCTTGCACAGTTATTTGTGCATCGACGGGAAATATTGGCTACCATATGAGAGGACTGGTGACGGAGGTAGGGAAAAAAGGGTTTCATTGACCAGAGTCATCGATATGGATGACGAGCATTTCGGTGGGATTGGGGATCGGCCTCAGCGGTGGGTTCAGTGCCTCGTTGACTTTGTTAGACATGAGCAACTGGAACTTTTGAAGTGCACGTGTAATGCCATTACCTCGCGTCACCACGTGAGTTGCTTCTGGACTTTGCTGTGACTTCTCGGAGTTCGCAAGAACAATATTTCCTAATTGTGGGCGAGTGGGGTAGCCCACTCTGGGGACCCCGCCACAGTCCCAGCATGCTCTACCTCTATACAAGTATGCATTCTCGATCCAGAAATAGCGCGTTGTCATTTTACGCAGCACTGGGACGCGCCCATCATGCCAAATGACCAGGCGGAACAAGAACCACCTAACACGCCAGCTATGGGAGTTCTCGAGGAGCCGTGTTCTCCAAGAACATCCGCACGGCTTGAGGGCGATTTTGCTCGTCTGATACCCGTAAATCGTCCTGCGCGACTCCCATTTAGCAAAATTGCTCAGCGTATACGACTTGATACCGACTGGCAAAAGCGCGCAAGGCAATTCGTTCATATCGATGAGGCAGCGAAAGAACTCACCTCCTTTGAAGATAGTGGTCGCTCGATCTGACCTTGTCATCAGCTTCATAATATCTTCAGCATGACGAAGTTGCCTAAAGTACCTCGACTGAGTTGGGTCTGGGGAAGCGGTTGAAGGCATCTGCCGGACGGACATACTGACTTTCTACTCACTGTCGACCGGAACCAGGACCGCGTTCTGGGGAGACACGGCCGGGTTTTTCATATCAACGATGGCCTGCTGGAAGTAACTGTCCCTGCAAAAAAGCCGATATATATCAATGGCGACGAGAAGCTTGAAGATGATCAAACATTTACCTCGCACTAGTATCACGATCGAAAACCTCACATTCTGTCTGGAATTCACTGAGCTGGGCAAATATCGAACTCAGGTGAACACTTTGATATCTGAGTGGCATGGCCGGCAAATACACCCTTCCCTTGAGCCCACCCCACAACCTCATCACTTTGAACTCCATGGATTTGTGATACAAGAGCCTCTAAGTAGCGGCGGTCATAGTCGGTGGCATAAATTGCGAGACTGGTATTCCTGTGGCTGTCAAACGCTCACAAAGAACATGCGGAAACCTTGAGCGTATCCGGCTAGAGATAGAGATCTCCAAGCGGGTCGGGTCGCACGTAAGTTCTTACTGGTCGCCAAAGAGGCGCTTAGACTGACTACGGTAGCCAAATCTCTGCAACTTGATCGCTGAAGAGTACTCTGGTGGGGAAGCGACATGGATAGAGGGTGGAAAACTTGGTGATGTGTATCTGTTCATGTCCCAGATTGCGTTAGAATCCTCATTGAGCTCACCATGTCGGCGAAGTCTTACCGCATCCATTAAAATGCCATACAGCAGGTCCTCCGTGGCCTCGCCCACCTTCATGAAAATCATATCATGCATCGAGACCTCAAGCCGACCAATCTCATGATGGCTGCACATGATCCACCCCACGCTATCATTATCGACTACGGTTGCGGAACTCTCAATGCAACATCGGCGGATCACAGCGTGGGAACGATTGTGTATATGGCCCCAGAGGTTCTCGCAATCAAAGCTGGAACGAGCATAGGCTCCAAGTACGACAGCAAGGTGGACGTATGGGGAACGGGCCTTACGGCATACCAGCTTTTCTTCCAGGAGGGATGCAGCTGGAAGAATGGTGTGGGACCAGATGAGTGGGAGAATATCAAGCAAAAATTACATCAGCGTCCCGGAGTGCTGTCTGGGCTACTGGAGAGTATGCTCGCTTGGGCACGTTCAGATCGTCCGACAGCTGCTGAAGTGGAAACCTCAGAAGTATGGCTCTAGTGAAATCCGATGGAAGAAATTAGGTTCAAGGCCAGCCCCTTTTGTTCTGAGATCAGATCACATTTCACATATATTCTGTACCTTCCCTTAAGGACCCAATCTAGCTCGTTGTCTTTCCATTTTGAAGCCTCTCAGTTGATTGTTTAGAGACATTATCCAATATCTTGGCAATTTCCCAGTGTCCGTATTTCCTGGCTGCATCCAGCGGCAAGTACTGAGCAAAAAATGCTTTCTCAAAAGGGCTTGCACCACGCTCAACTAGATATCGGACTGCCGTGATGTTTCCCACAGTACAAGAAATCCACATAGGTGTCCCTTCGAATTTAGTGACGTCGCTAAGGCCGGGGTCTGTGTCGAAGAGGGCATTGCTGATGCTAGCTCCCATCTCGTGAAGTAGTCTCAATAAGTATAGAGTATTTGAATCTTCTGGCCTTTTGCAGACAGAGTTGATCAATTCACCCTTTTCTGCAGATCCTCCGTGATCGAGGCGTAGCTGAATGATATTGACAGGCGCGAAATGAATGGCACGAGAGAGCGGTGTGAGCTTGTATCTTTGCGCATAGGCATTGGAGTCTGCACCATGATCAAGAAACCAGCGAACAACCTCTTCATTAGCATCCGATCGAAGCGCACGCCTAGATATTTCAACTTAAAGAGATATATGACTGATCGGTGCGTGCTTACCCTAAGAGCGATGGTTCGAAGTAGCTTTCTGGTTCATTGATATCCCAGCCATTATCGAGCAATATCTGCAGTGTCGGGAGAGATTGGGTCTCGATCGCAACAAGGGCCAACCATTTTGACTCGCCTGGTGAGAGCTTATGGCCTTTCAAAAGATGCGCAATAGACAGACCATTTTTAAGAGCTTCGCTAGCAGCATCCAGGTCAAAGTGGTCCTCTTTGCTTGGGATTTTTGATATCTGACTGAAAGGCGCCATTCGTTGAACGTGTGGTTCTGGAACACTCGTTGAAAGAGCAAGGTGTCACGCTTGCGTCCTGTCGTTATGTGGTGCCCGGCAATTAACACGCAATATTATTCTTGCGGGTTCTGAACAGTGTACGAAGGCGGCCTCGGTTGTGCGGTGGGACTTGCTCTCAAACTCTCTTGTTCATCTGATATATGTGTCGTATCCTATCGGTATGGTCAAACAACTCCTCTAATTCATCCTCCTCCAAAAGTCTCTTGATCAGGAAATAGGTATCGTCCTATTATGTGATAGTTAGCGTGGTACTGAGAAAGGCCGAAAACAAATGATCCCAAGGGGAGGCGTTTCAGTGGGAAGACGTCGATGAAAGGGGATTAACAGATGTTTAATGCTGACTTCGTTGTAATCCTATGGTAGCTCATAGTGATCTAGAGTAATAGGACAAAGAAAACCAGTTGACACCTTAAATAAGGGCTTTTGCGAAGAAGGCTGGACAAGATTCCCTCGCTTCTTAGCTCACGAGTATACTCGAAGAGGATCTCCTGGAGGGTTTCGTCGACATATCTCTTGATAATGATGTATGTGCCATCCTAAATTACTACAGTGAGTGGAATGTCGATACAAACAATTTTGAAGGAAACCCAGAAAGGCACTCCATCTGGTGCTTCTAAACTTTCCAGAACGTAGCGTGCCACGACTGATTTTCCGAGTTGCGGCAAGCCGTGGAGCCAGAAGATATGGGAGCCTTCACCTTTGCACCAGTTTTGGAAGTCTTTGATCTGCATCAGCCACGAACAGGTATTCGGGTGTTTTCCGATATCCTAGATCGAGGTTCATTACAGTCAAGAAGAAAAATCGGTTGAGGTATGTACATGGAATTTCTTTTCGTCCGAACTCTGCTGATTCTTTCTTGTAAAGAGTATTCTGAACGCACGAAGTATTTGAATTACATACTCGGTGGTGGTCGCTCGCTCTTAAAGGCCTGTAATATACCTTTTAGATCCCCCGATGTGTTTTCAATACCATCATTACATTTCACTATCTCAATATGGTTTCCTCTTATTACCTCCGTCGTTTCCAGAGCATGGCCAACCCTTGAAGAAAAGTCGTCAACAACCTTGACAATTGATCAGTTTGAAAAAAGCATCCTGCCATGTGAGAATCACGGTACCTTCCCAGAAAATCCTCTGATACCAGCCAGACCTTCCCCCTCTTGAAATGAATGTACACTGATATGACTGTCATGCAACGCCCCGGGAAAGTCATCCTGGATGAGGTCAAGAATTTCAGAGTCGACTTGCAGGTCGCTGAGTATCTTGGAGTTCACAACCTGGAGGGCCACCTTCACAACAATTGATGCGAGGCGTCCCCATGCTGCTGCATCAGATCCTCTGTGAGAAGTTCCACAAAGTATGACGGCTCTTATGCATTCAAAGAGCTCTTGATACTTGGCAAAGGTGCTGGATCTGCACCTGCGGATCGCCTTCACAATTGTTAACCAGACCACTTTCCAATCGCCAAGGAACAGGGATACCAACATTCTTGACGATGATCCCTCCGAGACTGTGTGCAACGAAGATGATCGGCTTCTATATGCGACTTCACCTAGGTGCCAGTGTTAAGCATAAGACCCTAAGTCTAACGGTGTATAAAAATGCCAAACCCATTGAATCAGGTGAGAAAATGGTAACTGAGATGCATTTGCCCGGTTCCTCTGGAAGACCCAGCACTTGAAGCCCAGTCACGATGTAGCAGAACGATGAAGGTGCAAATACTGACCATGTCTGGCAGGGATCTCTAGATTTACCGTCAGGTCGTTAATACCATGCTGCAAAATACTGTTTTTGCCAGCCCTCTGAAATATGCCCCGAATGATATCCGCATCATATCCGTGTGTGATAATTCTTGTCTCAGGAATTCGAGCCGGCAGTAGGCCAGCTGGTCAGAATGCGGCACTGCCTATGGCATTAATATTTGCTTCGCCGTCTTCACCGCCTTCGTTCAAAATATTTGCTGATGGAGGAGTCGCGACAGACGCTGTATTCCCACGTCCGATACGAGATAGGAAGCCTCGACGTTTAACCTCGTGTTGAGTGTTAGGAGCAGATGATCGGGTCTGCGCAGACCGTGAACGAAGACGATACTGTATCGAAGTCGATCTCAACGAAGCAGTGCTATATTTGGACGTGACTACTTGACGACTGGCTCTTGTCCGGTGGGCTGATAGAGTACAGAAGCACCGAATCGCTTGACCAACGCATACCTATTGGTAACTGCCATTCCCTGGGACTTTCCGATGGCTATTCAAGTCTTATTAGTTAGAGGAGAAAACTTGCCTTTACGATGACAAAAATTGAAGCTGTCTAAGGGTTTCCACTTGGTCAGTCGAGCGCAGTTGACGATTCCGCCTCCACACTTGGCTAAACTGAAACATGAGATTAGTGAGGCTCCCACCTTTACAGTTGGCGGGCGGTCTGATCGAGGTTGATCCGAAGTTCTGCCGGGATTTGATTTAAGTGTCTAGAGTACAAGTCCACCTGTAAGGTTTAAAGTAACCCAATTAATAGGCGGTTTTATACGCTTGCAGTCGGATACCTCCTATCATATGGTTCTTCCTTCGTCAGCCTCCCGCCCTGCCCGTCCTTAGATACGTGACTTTTACCACCTAAGTCCCATGCATCTTATGTCTCTGACAAGGATACAAATGCACGAGTTCTGACATAATGTGGATCATTCTCTCCATCATCGTGTATCAGACTGTCTCTTTCACGGTTGTCAGTTGGTCGTCCGATCTATTCGGTCGTCGTTAGTATGAGATCATCGTCGCCACTATCGATTCATCGGGTATATCACAGCGAGTCAAACGAAGACAATTGACAGTCTGATCAAAGCAGTATGTCTCTTGATTGCCTCAATTGGTGCACAAACTCGACTAACACTCGGTAGGGTGTGCTAATTGGGTTTGGCTCATACGTACACTGTCAAACTGTGCAGCTATCGGCGGATAACTTAGCTTTTCAAATATTTTGCATATCAATTTTTGAAGCACTACCTTATCTCTGCACACAGAATACCAGCCTTGTATGCATCTTGTCAACGCTATTTGCTCATCGCTTTCACCCACGGTGCGCTATCCTACGCCAATTAGCACGAGACGTGAAACAAGGTCAGTTGCCAGAAGCCACTCACCCCCCATACGCGGTACAGCGAACAGAGTGGTTTCTGCGAAGTATCGCCTGTAAAGGTAATGCCGGCGACGAAATCCGCCTCTACCACTTCCCCATTTTTGAACCATGACTTGATCCGCCCGAGGACAACAATCTCACTGTAGTCTGCTTTGGAGGTGTACACCTCGAGGGGATCATGCCTGCGTTCTTTCTGCGTGATCCACGCCTTCGGGCGATTAGCAGCAATAGCTATATATTTAGCAGCTGAGATTAGTGACAGGACGATGGTTTTTGGAGAAGTGTGTCTTTACCTTCCCTTCCCTTCAAAGGCCCAGCCAGACCGAATTGTGTCGCGTCGGGCGTAAACAATTCCGCCAGCCGGTGACCCGCGTCGGCGGCTTGGTCGTCAGCGAGGTGATAGAAGTCATCTATCCACTGCTTGACGCCTACTGGGGCTGGTATGTCAGCTGGCCATTTCGTCTCAAAAGGTCCTGTCGATGCCATTGGTGTTGGTGGTTGGTGAAGAGCAGCGAGACCGAAATCAGCACCTGGCTTGGATCGGGGGGAGAATGCAACAGTCCAGGCATACGAACTCTGCCCACAACGAAGTTTTTTGTTGCCCTGGCATGGGGAAATTCTCAGTCTCCGTCCGGAGAGGGTGGTCTCGGTGGAAATCGGTTCGGCTGACGCGGCAGTCCGAACTCCGACAAGACAGATGATTCCTATGCCTGAGACAAGCGAGCTCCATAGGTACAGGAACTCTATCTTGGAGCTTGCTGAACTGGTTTACGGGGTATGACACTACCCAAGCCGTCTCCGCATGGTCAAACGGAAATTGGAGAGCCTCCTCCGTCAAGTATAGAGCAGCGGCGTCGCCTGCAGTCAAGAACACACAACCTCCAGCAGAAATGGCAGACTCTATCTTCAAACGTCTTGTGAGGTTCGAAGATCACGCAGGGCAAGCCCACTACGGGGAAGTCCCTGAAAGCCACAACGGGGCTGACGACCTAGTGGGCGTCTCTGTGCCTGTGTACACGGGCGGACTACCATGGGAGCAAAGCTTCTGTCTCGGTACAGACACAGTCAAGATTGCCAAATTATTGAGTCCGATCGAAGCACCACCTTTTATCTATGGGATTGGTCTCAATTATCGCAAGCACGCTGAAGAAGCCAAGGTATGTTCACATGGCTTGTAATGCGTAAACCCGCGCTCATTGCCACATCAGGTCGAGATACCCCCTTATCCGTTGATCTTTTTCAAGGGAGGAGGAGCAGGTGAGCTATGTCTGCAAAGTGGCGACTTAAATCGCTGAAGCTGTGTATAGAGGCAGTATCGGGACCTTACGAGGACGTGCCCGTACACAAGGAGGCAGACTTCATGGATTACGAGGCAAGTGCCGATTGGGTTCGCTGCAGAATCAATCTACTGATCTGATTTCATGTCGTAGGGCGAGTTGGCGATTGTCTTTGGCAAGCAGGCTGCGAATCTGACAGAGTCTGACAACGTCTTCGATTATTTACTGGGATACACGGTCGGCAACGATGTGTCCTCACGATACTGGCAGGACCCTACGCGTTCAGGAGGCCAACACGGCTACGCAAAAGCCTTCGATAAATTCACAGTAATCGGACCGGTACTAGCATCCACCTCGTATGTCCCAGATCCTTCCAAGCTTACTTTAAAGACCACCGTCAACGGGGAGCAGCGACAGCTTACCCAGACGGACGACCTCATTTTCGACATTCCGTCTATTGTCAGACACTTGACCCGAGGCAGGACCATACGCCCGGGAACGGTAGTGATGACTGGAACTCCGAGCGGAGTCGCAGCCTTCCACAAGCCACCGGCCTGGCTCAAGGATGGCGACGTGGTTGAGGTGGAAATCACCGAGATTGGGAGAATCCGGAACCGTATGGCATTCCCCCCAACCCCTTGAGCAGGACGAGTAGGGAAATGTGGTTCAAGTCTTTATCGCGGATCATTACCCACACTTTCTCTACCCAAGAGCCATATAATACCGAGCAGAGATAGAGAAGGGGCTTAGCTTAAACCATGCGCTTTCAACAACTACATTCCCCTGACATGGGCCATGTCGCGGTCATAAGTGCCAAAACTATCGCCATTCTCCAAAACCTCTCTCTCAAGCTTTCACATGCTGAAACTCACTCTTGAAATACTCGTCGGTAAAGTCGAAGTCCTTGTCCAATGAAGTGAGTGCCTCGTCCCAAGATTGAATGATCTTGGCCCGGCGTCCTTCGTCTCGTGGGACAATCTTACAACTTGGACCACCGTCAGCGCCTCGACGACTCTCAGAGTCGTCAGTACTCACCTGAACGGGGCTGGACCTGCCACGAGCCCGCCGGTTACGGAATCTCTATCGATGGCGACGGGATTCCCCTGTTCGTCCACTCCCCGACTCATGCTAAAAGCCCACAGCATGCGAACAATGGCGATGAAGAGGCCCCTTTCCGCGACGTGAAAGCCTGGACAGACTCTCCTCCCTGCACCAAAGTTCATATGAGGACGTTCAGTGGTATTGGAGTTAATACCGAAGAATTCTCCCGAGGTCTTGTCCAAATCGTGGCGACGGGGATCAAACTCTCTGGGGTTCTTGTACCTCTCTGGGTCGTTGTTTATCGTCCAGACCTGAGATGAAAAGTCAGACCTTCTTCACCAATCAACAGTACTTTCCTATCAAACCCACGTTATTGATAATGCCAGCACCGGCGGGGATCTTGTAGCCCATATAAATGTCATCTTGAGCAACGCCATGAGGCACCGCACCAAGAAGAGTCGTGGGAAACCCTGAAAAAACGGTCAATATTCTCAGGAGTTCGTCGAGACTTGCAACTCACATCTCAGGCTTTCCTCCACGACACCTCGTACGTACGGGAGGTGCTCACGATCAGACCAGGACGGCATCTTGTCAGGCCCGACAACCTTGTCGATTTCCGCCTGCGCTTCCTTTTGCACTTTCGGAAAGAGAACCATAGCCTTGGAAAGCCTGCTGTCAGCATAGAAAAATCTCTAGTTCGAGTGCCTCTACCTTGAGGAAGCCTTTTAAGGTGTTCCACTGAGTGTCCCTGTGAGTCCATCAGCTCGCAGCTCTGAGCGTTCCATTAGCGTATGTAGCACTTACGTGGCTCCCATTGCTGCTTGAACCGCGTTGTGAGCTAACTCTTTGTCACCCAGCCTGTCGGCTCCGGCCTTTTCGTTGGCGCTTATCATGTCATTGGAAAAGCCTTGGAGTGTAGCCTCGGTCAGTCGACGAATTGCATATTGGAGAATGGAGGATTCCGCCTACATGGCCGAATTCTGCCCTCTCTGTTCCTTGCTTTGGCTTCCTGAAACAGGTCGATAAACAGACCCTCCTCAAGCTTCCTGATCTCCTTCAAGTCTTGCTTGAGCGCGCTCAAGCGAGTCGGGATCAGATTGAAGATGGGTCGCAATGAGGGATACCAGTCGGTCATTTGCAACGAATTGGCGATGCGCACGTTCCGGTCGTTCCACTTCATTCGATATCTGAGCATTAAGTCCCAAGGGTACCGAAAGATGTGTACTTACATCACACATTCCAGCAACTGCTGGAATATCCATACTTGGAGTTCGCCATCCGAAAGCCAATGTCGAAGCCACGCTGGAGGTGTATCGCCTGAAATTTCGATCATAATCGTCCGGGGCGACCAGGAAATCGTGGAGCAACTGGCGGCTCTCAAAGAGCTGGTGGTTGAAAGCGTCAGCGCATCTCCGCCATGGACGTGCACGCACGAGACTGGATGGAAGCGCTCTTACCTGGTATGGAATATAGCTATCAGCCCCTTTGGCGTTGAGACGCAGGTGATACATCCTCCTTTGGCGTCTCCAGATATCATCGTTACTGCAAATCTTTGGGTCAGATTGTCGCAGACTGCCAGGACTACTCCATCGGGTCTGTGCTCACTTTCGAAACAAAATGTTGAGGTTGTCACTGTTCTCTCGAATAAACATATCCATCCGTGTCGAATAGATGTTGCTCCGCTTCTCGAGAAGGTCTCTGATAATTGTCTGCGAGCTGACCACGATTTGTGTCTGGCTGCCCAGCTTGAGGGAGTATATCGGTCCATCTTCGTACTGATCAGCCTCGCAAGAACCCCACGACAGTAGAAGATGGGCGTACATTCTTGAGCCCATTTTTGTAAGCAAAAATGTAAGTTGGAGTCTGGCAGCTGATGCAGATTGCCCAAAATAGGGACTGTTGGCGGTCCTGCAGTCGTTTGAGTCCGCGGTCGAGGCGTTATATTGCAAGATCACAATTCTTACCAGGCGGATAACCGTCAGGCCGCATACCGTAACGAGACACCTTCCATAGTAATACCCCGAAGATGACTGAACCCAGCAAGACCCCGCTCACGATATGGATGTCAATAGTCGCCATGCCGTCAAGAGTGATTCTCGCAAGACTAACAAAACGAACGATGTTGACAAGGACTCCTCAGAAAGCTCACGTTCAGTCTTTTGGGGATCAAACCATCTGCTGTGGATCCACAATGTATTGTGGTTTCCGGAAGCGAATGAGTGGAGAACGTTCCCAACCGGATTCATGGCCCCGTGGGGACCGGATGCTACGACTCCGGGGAGCCTCCGAAAAGACTGGGGGTCGTTACCCACCCGAGGCATTCCCCTGGTACCGGCGCTTCGGGGCTTCGGAAATGTTACTGACTGGCAACCATCCAATCAGACATGACTAGACTCGACAAACCCGTTATCACTTTGATAATTCGCTGACGCATTCGGAGTCCTCGTCCCGATCCCGAACGACCCAGTCGCTCGCGCAGTGCCTGGAAACTTGGCACACTGCAGTGCTACAGATATGGTAAATCTCTTCAGGTTGTCTGCTGGACGAGCTTCGTGGTATGTACACTCAGGGATAGTGAAAGGGTAACGCCATGCATGACATTATCAACGTCATCGTTGTTGGGGCCGGCTTTGGTGGGCTTTCAACAGCTATCTCGCTCAGAAGAGTCGGGTGCAATGTAAGTGTTTACGAGCTGTCGAAAGATCTGTCAAGACAAGGTACGCAATGTGAAGAGTTCTGTCCGTATTGACTCCCACTGACTGGGAGATTCTCAAGGCGATGTCATCATGCTGGGGTCGAATGCGTCGCGCGTCATCAGCCAATGGCCAGGAATGCTCGAAAAAATTCGAGGAGTCTCTTCCCTTCCCACGCGGTTGAGGATCTGCGACAAGAGCGGCAGGCTCTTGGTGGAACAACCTCTGCCATCCGAGTTTGACGGATTCCCTAACAGCTACGCCAACCGGACCAAGGTTCAGAACTACATGTACGAATATGCTAAGGAGATTGGAGTGCAGTTCACCTTTAACGCCCGGATCGTCGAGTATTTCGAGGACGAGGACCACGCAGGCATTGTTTTCAACGGGGAGCGGGTCAATGCGGACGTTGTGGTCGCGGCCGATAGCGTCCATAGCCGGGCGAGGGCGTATGTGACAAAGAAGCCGGGCAGAGCCCAGAAGAGCGGCTTCGCAGTATACCGCTCTTGGTTCAATCTGGACTTTCTCAAGGATAACCCATTGACGAGACCTATTGCAGAGGCCGATGAGGATGATTACCGTGTATGGATTGGCGAGAATACTCACGCAATCCTGACTACCAACAGAAATCTCCGTGCCGTGACGGTCTTCTGTACGCACAAGGTATGGTGAAATTGCGGACAGGAAACCGCAGCTGCCGACTCGATCTCTAACAACCGTCCAGAAAGGCTGACGAGAACTTGCGCTACAGGATACGGCCGACATCGAAGAGTCCTGGAATGCGCCTGGCAAAGTGGAAGATATGCTCAAGGTCGTGGACGGCTGGGATCCTCTTCTTCAGCAATTAGTAAAGTCAATCCCTGAAGAAGTCCTCATAGACTATAAGCTACTTTGGCGGGATCCAGTCCGCCAATGGGTTTCGGATGGAGGTCGGATTGTTCTTGTGGGTGATGCGGCCCATCCTCATCTACCTACATCCGGGACTGGCGGTGCTCAGGCGATCGAGGACGGCGCCACCCTCGGCGTTTTGATCAAGAAGGCAGGGAAGAAGGACATTCGAAGAGCTTTGAAAATCTTTGAGAAGTTGCGGTAAGTCTACCGTGAGTCATTCTACTGACCTTTCAGCTAACTCGCTCTCTTTTTTCCCCCAAAGCTTCGAGCGCACATCCCTCACGCAAAGAGCAGGATGGGAGCTACGACATCGCTGGCATCAGACAGACTGGGATGCAGTCGCGAAAGACCCTTCATTTTTGAATCAGCCACAGCCAAGGTGGCTCTATGGTCACGACGCGGCAGATTATGCTGAGGCCAACTACGATGCGGTATCTAGTCATTTGGAAAAGGGAACTCCCTTTACCGCCAGAAACGTACCCGACGGCTATGTTCACGAAGATTGGACCATTAGTCAGATGATGGCTAAAGAGGGTGTCAAGGCCGAACCCGACTTTTACAAAGTCGAAGCATGATCATGGTGCCTATTTCGTGTTAGCTCCCCTTCCTGAATGGCATATCTACCTTGATTTCTTCCTGAGCAGCTGTTATTCGTGAATGCTGGCAGGATGTCATCTGTATATGCTCTTGACCTTGAGAAGGGCCCCTCAAGAGTCAAACCCACGACGGACGCATTAGAGACAATCCGACGGGCTAAGGCGGTCGAGAGAGCACGGTCACTTGTCCTAGCCAGTAAAACATGGCGTATGTTTACTTCGCAATGGTAGAGATACAAGCCAAGTTACTACTTATGCCGTACCAAGCGACGAAGTATTCTATCAGGACATTGTTGCGTCAGCAGACAGTTTCCGTAGATACAATGCAATAATAGCTTCCAGCTTCATCGCTGAAAGTCGCTCATCTTTTCCAGACCAAAGGTATCGACCTGCGTCATGAGCTGAGTGGTCGCAGTAAACGCGTGCTTGGGCAATTTGCTGTCTTCCGAATTTGGTGCTTCAGTTTGAATTTCCTTCTTGCCCGTGGTGGTGGCCACAATGTCACGCGCTGTGGCAAGCGATGCAACGGAGTCTCCTCTCCACGCAACGTGCTGGTCAGGACGTACGAGCACCATCTTGCGCTCCCATAATTTCTCCGCCACAGTCTCTCCCACCAGGTGGAGATGCTTGACAGGGATGTTGGACTCCTGGGCAGACTGGAGCATGTGCTCGATCCCATCGCAGCCCTCTCCAAACGTCACCAGCGTCCAGTCCGTGGGGTGGAACAGGTCGAAGATCGGGGTTCCATCCTTCAAAAAAACATGCGGCGGTCGCGACCCAGGCCACGTGGTCGGTATGTAGCGAGAAGGGCTCCATTCTGGCTCTTTAATGTCATCCGCCTCTGTAAGGATCACTGTTGACCGATACCGAAACCCCATTTCAATTCCCAAGTCTAGATTCTCTCCATTGTTTGTCTGATAGTGCTCGTGGATCTTCCGACGCGCCTCGATAGCCTCTTGGGAGTCAGAATTGAGGGTTGCAATGTCCAACCCGTTGATCAAGTGTTTGACTGATTGATGGGTTTGCATGTGGACGCCAGAATGTTCCGAATTGCGGAGTGCGACAGGTCGCCTTTCAGCCTCGTACGAGTCAAGCAGCCCCAAGCCGCCATGGCCCTTGATGAAAGATGCCAGCTTCCAGCCCAGGTCGTACGCGTCGCCCAGCCCTGTGTTCATACCGTATCCGCCGGTCGGGATGAGTTGATGCGCCGAATCTCCCGCCAGGAACACACGACGCATTGGGCTCGTCCACTGTCTAGTCACGGCAATGTTAGGTCTCCAGGTTGAGCGTACCAGTATTTTATCGACCTTGATGGGGTATGGTCCGTGAGAGCCGCCCAAAGCTTCATAGATCGCTTCGTGGGAGTCGATCTTGGACTCGTCCGCGTCCAAGGGAAGGAACAGGTGAGTCGTCCAGGTGTCGACTTCGTCTTGGGCGATGATGGCGCCCGAAAACTCCCCCGACTGCTGGAAGAAGAAAATGTGCCAGAATTGACCCAGCTTATGTAGCCGCGAGAGATCCTTGGACTTGAAGTGGACGAGCAGGACGAAGGCTGGAATGGGTCCGCCATCCAAGGGCATTTTGAGGGACTGCCGGACGCGGCTGTTGGCGCCGTCGCAACCTGCCACATACTTGGACACAATAATTGATGTGACACCCGTATCTACATGAGAAATGACTGTTTCGACCTGGTCGACATTCTCCTTAACCCCTTCTACCTTCCATCCGTATCGCAGCTCAATCAAGGGATCGTGTTCGCATCGGTCTTTGAGCCAAGCCTCAAACACAACCTGTGACACTCTCTGCCATGGCTCAAGTGGTAACGTGCCGTCGTTGGTGCTGTTGATACGAGCTTGGAATTGGTCAACCTGTGTATCTCTACGCGTTAACCTCCAGTAACTCCAAAGCAACCTGGGATTGCAATGTGTTCCGCGGGGAAAGAGATGACAAGGTTACTCACACTCTCATGCTGCCAGCTGGTCAATGCCTTTGGAGCAGGAAGGCCCGTGCAGAAAAGTACAGGCTGGGGTATATCTGCTCGTACACCGTGCGTTCGTAGTTCCTCCGCCAGTCCAAGTCGCCGTAGGATCTCCATAGATCTTGCATTTGTGAGATCCATTTTGGGCCACTGTGTCGTGCTTTTATTCCGCTCGACGAGTACGGATCTTACCCCATAACGCGAGAGGACGGTCGCGAGTAACAGCCCAACTGGACCACCTCCGGCGATGAGAACCGTATCTGATGAGAGCTCTTCGCGTGTAACTCCATCATCCGCCGCCATGTTGACCAAAAGCATCAGGAGTTGCAGCCTCAAATCTGCTCGAAAGAAGTGATTGTAAAATGAGGACTATCTACATGCAAACCGTGCTGTAGATGCGCTCAGCCTACGTGACCTGTGGTCGGATCCTCCAGCTTCCGGTAACATATTTCCGGGTACCGAACACCGGGTTGCCCATCGGTCTCGGGCAGCTCTATGCAGGGCTTTTGAAGTCTGGAATAAATCTAGGTTAGCACAAAAGGGCCGACATGTTGCACCCGATTTTTTGACAGTTCACAGAATCCGAACGCTGTCCAGCGGGGGAAGAGGCTACAGTACTTCAGTGGTGAACAACTACCTGCCGTACAGTTCGAAACACGCACGAGCTTTTTTACTATCGTCAGGTGCTGACTGTCTCTTAACAAATCTGGAAACTCACTGGTCCCATATTTTTCAATCCTGTTTATCATGGGTCACATCGAGGTCAAAAGCCCGTCCTCGCTGGCGCACGTGGTGTTGCGTACACCAAATTTCAAGGCCATGAACGACTACTATAAAACATTCCTCGGCGCCAAGGCATCGTACGAGAACGAGATTCTTTCATTCTTGACATACGATGAGGAACACCACCGCGTCGCGATTGTCGCCGTCCCCGGTACTGGGCCTAAGGTGCCGAAATCGGCTGGTCTTGAGCACATTGCCTTTACCTTTAATACCCTGGATGATCTCACACTGGCCTATCGCCAGCGTAAAGAGGCTGGTATTTTGCCGTCGTGGTGTGTGAACCACGGACCGACAACTAGCATCTACTATACCGATCCCGATGGCAACATGATCGAGACTCAGGTGGACAACTTCGATACTGTCGATGAGGCCAACGCTTTTATGGCATCTAGAGCCTTTGCAGAGAATCCTATCGGCACTGACTTTGATCCCGAGGAGCTGATACGGAGATTGGAAAGTGGAGAGGATCACCGGTCGATCAAGAAGCGCATCGAGAACGGCCCAAGAGGGTTACCAGAGTGGGCATTGTGAGCGTACAAGCCACAATATGTAGGATTGGATTTCCAGGCTGTTGAGCACAGGATAGGAGTGGCGAGCTGGGACGAGCTCGTGGAACGAACGACTACTATTGATCGGCTGCGCTGACAGAGAACCCAAGTACATAATTTCTCTTCGAAAGTTCAAGAAAGAGCTTGCACAGAGGCCTTTCCACAGCGTCTCATTTTCAACCTTATATATCCTTTTCTTTTTGGATTGCACCAGAAAATTTCAGAGTCTTTGCAGGAGTAGATTCGAAGATTGTGCATAGCCCAGAACTTTGTTGGAGTAGCCGCATTGTTTGAGGACACACATATAGCTGTGCACCTCAAGCGAGTGACTGAGTCGCGAAGGACTGCTGAAAGAACGCTTCATTGTAGCTCCCATCCTCTTCCAGAAAGCTTTTTGCTTGCTTCCAAGACCGCCGGATCAGTGCAACTCGCTCTTCATCTCGACTCTCAAACACCATGCTGCTCCATGAGACAAGCCCGTCAGCCATATATTCCCAGGTATATAATTCAATCAGAATTCGAAATGGCAAACTTACTTGTAATGCACAGGGGTGACCATGAAACCTGGTGTCATGCCGTCACGGTCGATCGGAACAACATTACCCTTCTCGTCTACGGCCGGTTTCATGTTGAAGGACCACAACAAGCGAGCGACGGCCGTATACAGGCTCCTCTCAGCAACATGAATACCAGGACACATTCTCCGTCCCGCGCCAAAAGTAGTATAAGGCTTGTCGGATGTATCTGATCCGATGGGCGCGCCGACGGAGGGAAACTTATGGCCCGGCAAGTGTCGGCGGGGCTCAAAATCACGAGGATTCGTTCGATCGTTGTTGATGCTCCAGACCTGATCTCGAGGGTTAGATTGTGTTTTCACGTCTCAAGTAGGACAAGGAGATATTGCTGCATCTCACGTTGTTCACAACTGGGACTCCCGCGGGAATTCGGTAGCCTAAGTAACTATCCTCGTTCGTTGCTGCGTGAGGTGCGCCTCCTGCGACTGTTGTCGGCATCCCTGCCGAGAGATCAGCATTACAGGTCCTCAGCATAACTTCCACATGTCGTACACCTGAAGGACTCCTTGACACACGCCATTATATAAGGCAGGTTCGGGGAGTCTTCCCAGGTAGGAAGTCTGTAACTTCCCACGACTCTATCGAGCTCCTCTTGTGCTTGCTTCTGGACCTCAGGAAACAGAACCATGGCCTGTCGAACCGTTAGTTAGGTGTTATGAAGGACGTCGAGTCACCTACCTTTACAAAGCCCATGAGGGTGCTGTAGGTGGTATCCCTGCGTTGTTGAGTCAAATTAGTCCGCCTTTGTCGCTGGGGGCTCTGGCTTACGCCGCTGCAGGCCACGCATGGCCAACCACGAAAGCAATCTGCTTGAACGTGAGAGCATCCGATTTCGCAATCTGTCCAGATTCGGCACCTATGGTCAAGAGAAGATTTCTGGCAAAACCTGATGGGGTTTAGTCGCCGATATCGATGTTTGCCTGGTCACTGCATCACCACTCACTTGGTCTCATCTTGCCTTGATCAAGCATTTCTTGCGCCTCGCCAATCAGCTGCATCCACAGTTTCGTTTCCATTTCTTTCAGTTCCGCCGCTTCCTTCAGAAAACCACTGATCCAGGAAGGGGCTCGGAAATAGAGCGGTTTCAAGATTGGGTACCAGTCGGCAAAAGATGTCTTCTCCATCAGGGCCGAAAATCTCTCGAGCCACTGCTCATCTGTTAGTCAGTCTTGCCAGCTACACTCCATTGAAAAATGAGCTCACCGTGTAGAGTGCCTTGACCCTGGGGTCCTCGAGATCCGGGTATCTTTTGGCGAAAATGACCGTGGCCCCAATACTCGTGGTGTATCTCTTGAGGACAGTCCAGAAATCTTGTGGTCTGTCCAACAGCTCGTCCAACATCTGCAGACTCTCAAACTCCTGAGCATAGTCATCAGATCAGCTCTCTAAGAATGCTCTCCAAGATTGCCCGGAAACCCACCTGGTATGGAAGATAGTTGTTAGCAGCGGTGATGTTGAGGCGGAGGTGATACATCTTGCGCATCCGGCGCCACACGTCATCGTTGCTGCCGCCGTTTATCAGTCAAGGAATGGGCCGGGACAGGGGGCGCCCACTTACGTCCTGAAGAGTAAGTTGAGGTTTTCGCCAAATTCAGCGCCGAAGTTTGACGCCTTGGCCGAGTAATTGCCACTTCTCTTTTCGAACAGGTCGCGAATCCCTTGTTCGGTATTGATCACTATCATCGTCTGTGTTCCTAACTTCACCGACATAATCGGACCATCTGAAAGAATAAGTTCACTTCGACGTCAACAAGGATTCCTGCTTGAAATTTCTTACACTGCTTTGCCCACTTTTCGAACATGAGATATGGTTTATCCGTCATTTGATGTAGATTGCCTAAGATAGGGAGTGTTGGCGGCCCTGACACCAGGAGGTTAGCATTTTGGCAGTAGTGCTGCCCAAGCAGAGCGTTGACGGTAGCGTTGAGCCTTCTTACCGGGTGGCAGACCCTCCTCACGCATGCCTACGCGCAGCAGTCGCGCTCCCATGTACACGAGACCTACCACCAGGGCCACCGAGGGCCAAAAGAGCCCGAGAGCAAAAGTCATCGTAGGTGGCAATGTGTTGAGTGGAAAGACGTGATTCTTGAGGCGACAACGAGGTATCGCATGGGATTCAGCACGCAAACCCTACCACCATTAACCTGGCCACATAGAATACTCGGGATACTAATCAATCTGTGCTTGGCTCTGTGCGGTTTGGCGTTCCCCATTTTCCCCATATCTAACTCCCCCACAGTTTCCCGGGCCGAACTTTCTACCGACTCCGAGAGTCCGGCCCGGTGCCCGAGTTTGACAGTAAGGCTCTTCCCCCCGCAATCTTCGACTGTCTCGTGGGTGTATTATTCATAATTCAAGTGCCTGGCAAATTAGTCCCATGTAGTCGCGCTTTGGCCTCAAAGCCAAGCTCTTCTAAATCTTAGCGAGGGCAAGTCCCATCGCCCATTCAACCCAGGTGTTCGGTTGGACGCCGGGAAAGCTCCCGGGTCGAACCCGGCCGCATGGGCGACTGTTGGCGTGATGAAGCAATCATCTCGTTCCTGCCTCGACGGAGCAGTCATCAGCGTCATATTCGTCGATACGCACTTTGTCGCTCGTTGATGACCTAGCCTATAATGTCTACATCTGAAAGTGACTTTGTCGCTCTCGTCACCGCCAGTTCAGCTGGACTGGGAGCTGCAGTGGCAAGGAGACTCGCGAAACTCGGGGCAAGAGTCGTTATCAACTATTGCAATAGCCGCGGAAAGGCAGACGCACTGATCGAGGAGTTGAACGCGCAATATCCAGGCTCACCCTCGAACGAAGACACGCCGGGCACCAAACAATATGTTGCCATCCAGGCTGACCTGAATAAACGGTCCGACATACAACGACTGGTGGACGAGGCCATCCAGCACATGGGAAGGCTGGACATGGTAGTGTCCAACCATGGCTGGACGACATTCACCAACTTCATGAATCTCGACGAGAATGTCAACGAGGATGACTGGGACCACTGTTTCAGCATGAACGTCAAGTCGCCCCTGTTCCTGTTCCATGCGGCCAAAAATCATCTCGAGGCCACCTGCGGATCGTTCACCACAGTATCTTCGCTCTCTGGGATCAAGCCCGGCGGCAGCTGCCTAGTAAGCGTTTTTTCTATCATGACTTTGCCGGTGCTGAGCTGAACACCTCCTCGGCCTACTCCGTTACTAAAGCAGCTCAAATCCATTTGGCCAAATCCCTGGCATTGATCGCTGCTCCCAAGATCCGTGTCAACACGGTCGCGCCTAGCCTCATGCTTACGGTTTGTCACGGACACTTGACCATGAACTTTGACGCGCGCTGATTGTCGAACAAGGAATGGGGAATGAAATTTCCCACGACGATGCACGATGCTGTCCGAGAGAAAAACCCTCTCAAGATGATTATTACCTTGGAGGTGAGTCCCTGACCCTGGGCCATGCGCTGCTACTGAGGTGACCATCTTCGTCAATAGGATGTCGCAGACCATATTGTCCACCTGGCACAGAATCGGTCGATCACTGGCACCACCGAGATAATTGACGCCGGATACTTGTTGACTTGAACGGACGGTGGCCCAGAAACAACGGTGTACTACAGAGCCCCCGGCGAAGCTTAGGTACATGATTAAATTGTTGATTGCCGTAGACAATAGTGATCAGCCTATTCACATGGCAAGGTCAACACATTATGCACAGGCCATGGTGCTTATCTTAATTTGCACCGTCCAGCCCGCGGCACCCCCGTCGTCTAATTAGTTCTGGCTTATAAGAAAGTAGTGTAGTGGCCACTCAGGAAAGGCCACTTTCGCCAAAAGTCGTCTAGCTCTCGAGAACACTCCCAATGGTGACACATTCGGATGCAATGGTTATTTCGGACCGAAAGGTGGCCCGGACGCAGCCCCAGATGTCGCCCACAGCAGCATTCCCTCCCCATGGGGAGGCTGGACGAAGGTTGCCCTGCTACCGAATCCACCGAGCCACGATGACCCTTAACAGAGATGGTGAGCCAACTGACAAAATCTGGGCTGGCTCCTCGACCGTTTTATCAAGCGATATCCTCCTGGTAGAGCAACCACCCAGGAGTTCTCCTAAACTGTTGCCATACTACTCTGCTCCCATCACGATGTCGCAAGGGAAAACCTCTTACAATACCTTGGTAGGGTATTCGCAGGGTCTACTGCAATGTCCGAGCGTTGACAAGTTTTTCTAGGTCGCGCTGACCGTAGCGACGGGCTCGATCTCCTATGGCTACCTCATCTCCATTGTCGGCAGCACCTTGAGCAAGCCGGACTGGTATGAGTACTTTGGACTCGTCACTTCGGGTCCAGGGCTCGACCATTCGAATGCCCTGATCGCTGCCATGCAATGTCTGTTCTACGTCGGCTCTCTGATTTGCAACCTGTTCTACCCATATGTGTCCGACCGATGGGGTCGTCGAACGCCTATTGCCGTGGGATCCATCATTACCATAATCGGTGGCGCGCTGCAGACTGGATCTGTCCATCCAGCCATGTTCATTGTAGCTCGTTTCATATCCGGCTTTGGCGCTGTCTTCTTCATGTGCGGTGTTCCTCTGTACCAGGCTGAGATTGCGCCACCCAACATGCGCGGATTCTTGGTGGGCTTGCACGGTAAGCAGGCGGCTCCTCTCAATACGGATCGACATAAGCTAAAGCATCTGTCTTAGGCGCGCAAGTCGGTACGGGAACGCTTGTGGCCCAGTGGATTGGCGTTGCCTTCTACCATGTCAACGGTTCAGGTGGCTGGCGAGGACCGCTGGCAATCCAGTGCCTCTTTCCAGCTCTGATCCTAGGACTCATTTGGCTCCTTCCAGAAAGCCCTCGTTGGTGTGAGTCTTGTGCACCAGCAACCCGAACAGGAAGCGGGGTAATGGCTGACACCAAATAGTGTACATGAAGGGTCGCTCGGAAGATGCGTTGAAGGTGTTGATTCGACTGCATTCGAGCAAGTCGTCCGAATCACACGAGTTTGCGGACCGAGAGTACCAGATTCTTAAGGCTCAAATCGATTTTGAAACTCCTTCGAAAACGTCACTCTGGAAAATGGTGAAACAGCCGCCGCTCCGAAAACGGTTGGTCATTGGCTTTATCACCATGTTTGGCACGCAGTGTATTGGGACACTCATCATCCTTGGTGAGTACATGGTTTGCCTGAGCTTGAATCCATCCTTCTCACTGACTATTGTCCCACAGCGTATGGTCCAGTCATCTTCGGTACTCTCGGCTATGGGCCCTTTACCATTGCACTGCTGTTTGCCGCCTGGACCGTTTTGAATCCAATCGGCAACCTCATCGGCGGCTGGCTGAACGACAAGGTTAACCGCTGTACATTGCTACGTAAGCTCGACTTTCTGATTGATGATTTCTACCGCTGACACTTGTAGTGATTGGATACTCCGGCGCAAGTGCCTGGATGATTTGTGTCGCTGTCCTGATCAAGCTGTACGCTGGCACGGCGAACAAGGCAGGCAACAGCGCCGTCGTATTCTTCATTTTCTTGGACCTTATCTGGTCGGTCAATTATTCGTGCCGAGTTCTTCAATCTTTGCTGATCTTGTTTTCTGCAGGATCACAACATTCATCGAGGCAACTTCTTTCATCTACGTCTCCGAGATTTACCCCAGCTACATGAGATCCCAGGGAGTCTCGCTTGGAATGTCGGGGCTGTTCATGATCTCTTTGATCCTCACGGCAGTGACTCCAACGGCTCTAGCCCACATTGGTTGGCGATACTATATCGTCTTTGCGGTTCTCTCTGCCGTCATGGGTATCATCGTCGCCATTTGGTGGCCCGAGGTAATTTACAGTCCCTCTTTTTCGCCGCAGGAGACTTGAGAGTTGCGGAGACTGATCATTGCACTATCTAGACCCGTGGGTACACTCTCGAGCAGCTCGGAGCTGTCTTTGGTGATAAAGTCGTCGCGGTGGAGCAGCTTGTTCTGCCTGGAGGTTCAAAACGCAACAGCTACGAGCAGGTCGAGGAAGTGAGCGTCGATATTCCCGAGGTCGAGGCTAAGAGCGCTCATTGAGCTCGAGGGAGGACTTGGTTGCTCTACAACGAAAGGTAGAAAGTGCTCCATCGCCCACATTTACTGCAACGGACCTGAGGCAGTTCTGTACGGTGGGCAAGAATGAGTTACCGTATGAAAGTCGTATCGACCTTAAATCATGTTCGATAACGGGTTTGAGCATTTTGACTCTCCAGTGAGTCTCTAGTCGGTAGAATCTACATCTCAGGGCCGAAGAGGGTTTGCATAGTCGTGATATGAACCCGTTCTCGCACATCGTGCGCCACCACCGATAGCAGAGCATGAGAATATCGCAGAATCTCTCATTCGAACGACGGATTGAACGTACCACTAGCTCCTTTCCTAGATCTCGATGCCGGATCCGTTGTAACTGTTACCACTACCGGCTTCGGCTGCACTGTGATGGTGACAGGATATCAAGCTCCAAGACCGAGCCACGTAATTCCAACAGGGTGTAAACTAATATTCCCGGAAGATGCACAAAGATCCGAGACGGGGAAGACTGGACCCGAAGTTGTCATGCTCGGAGAGAGAGGTATCCGGTTTGCGGGAGGTGAAATATAGACAGGTTGCCCGGTAGTCATAATATCTACGCATTGTCAGTGAGGTTCTTTTCGAGTAGATCAGTAACTGGCACATATTATCAAGTGCCCAGCAACCATGTCGGTATGGAAAGATGAAGTATGTAGCCCCTGCAGATGAGAATTGTTCGTCACATTGAGTGGCTTTGCATGGACAGTCACTGAAGTCTTTTGCAGACGACCTTGACCACCACCGATGAACTCCATGGCCACCTCCCAGGAGGACCGTCTAAGGTTGGAACAGACAGCCGCGCTGCGCTCTGCCACGTGCTAACGAGACATACAGTATCATAATCCCGATTTAAAGCATGTCGAGGAGGAGGTGCTTCAACATTACAAAGCCTTTTCGCGCTTTTGCAATTACGAGTGCTTGGAAGATCCCCACGGCGGCAAGCGATTCTGGGAGCTCGACGACATGATGATCTTTGATCTCATGGGATGCACGAACCGGCCGGACTTTCGCGCCCACTATGAGAAGGTCACATTGTATCTCAAAGATGCGCACGTCGCGTTCAAGGATTTGGAGATCGTCGCCGTGAGCGAGACTTTTGCGTACGCGACTGCGCTCGAAAGATATTGGGGCAAGGCAGAGGACGGCAACGATTTTGATCTGCACTTCCGCATTACAAGTTTGATGCAAAAGACAAGCAATGGCTGGCAATATATCCACGAGCATTACTCGTTTCCAGTGGACATGGCGACAAAGCTGGCCGACTTCTCTTCAGGGATCGCTGTCAACGATAGCCTCGCGCTGAAGAAATGAGGGCGCAATTGAGCTGTGGTAGAAACCCAGGGCACGGGCTATATCGATCCGTATCATAGGGACCTTGTCCCGCGCATATGCCCCCGACTTGTCCACTTTCATAGCTCCCAATTGAAGAAATCGTTCGTCTCCGTATCTAGGTCGAGGCCCGGAAGTAGCATGCTAAGACTTTCTGGCTGGAAATCAGAGAGCTCGAAATCAGAAGCCTAGTTTGAAGAGGTCAGTACTGTGCATCACTGGGAGTAGCGACGTTCCCCCTACCTCTTGAGTCATGTCACCATGTTGTAGGTGATTCTGATTGCACATCATGTCGATCTCCTTTGAGATATTCTCAACGCCTACAGAGCCCTGAGTAGCACTTGGACCACCACTATTTAGGATCGCACTTTTTGCATGCTTGACGGCCACACGGGCAAACGAGGCAAGTTGCTTGACAAATGACGTGGATATTTCGGAATTTGTAGCAAATTCCACTCGGGCAAAATGGCCTGCTCCGATGTCCAGTAGTGAGAGATCAGATTGGACAGTCGGGCTCTCGGGAGCTTGTAAGATATGAATAAAGAGGTCGATGACGGCCTGGATAGGAGCTGAGAAAGCGAGCCTAGACAATCTTCAGTATCCATCATGGAAAAGGACCACTCAGAATTGATAAAAACCATCTACTTACAGTATCGGACAATTGGCATCCAGGTGGACCCATTTGGTCGCTAGGATTAGCGCACGAGCAGCTTCGGCCACAATGGAGCGCGAGGCCTCGACTTGCTTTCGATCCTCGAAGTTGTCTTGTGGCCTGAGCATCGTTTGAGACCAGGGGTACGTCAAAGCATTGTGAATTTCGGACAGCAGGTTGTAGTACATGAATTGTAAGTGGAGCGCCTGGTTCAGCTTGATACTCGACGGCAATGTAGCTGGATTGATTGGGGCATCGACACGAAAAACGTATGCCATCGAGTCTTTGAGTGCTCTGAGCTGTTGATCCAAGGCAACGACAGTTTTGATCGTCTCGCCAGGCTTCAGTTGGAAAGCTTGAGCGCTGGACAGCTGCTTATTCACCAGTGACGATAGCTGAGAGAGGCGAATGAGCATGTTACAATACACCACGTCCACGGAGCTTCCAGTGGGCCCACAGACTGGGATCGGGCAACTGATATCGTTGTCATCCGTGATCTAGGCACACTCAGTTAGAAGATTAGATTATGTCAAATCTCCGGCCACTCACAGACGGCCGACCTGAACGTGAGGCGATACTCTTTTCCAGGCAATATATGGCCCAGAATATCCAGTCTCGATGGCATGCTTCTTGATCTGTCAACCCCCAAGAAGCCACGGCTTGCCGATGTAGGCCCTTCGAGCAAGCTAGCCGTAGAGCGTTGGAGCATAGCATGTACTCCAGCGCTGGGCTGCCCAGCTCGTCCACAAAATAAGCCTCCCTCTGTCAGTGGATGTGTCTTTGGCGGAAGTGGCGGAGATTTGTCTTGCTTACCATGAGCGAAAGAGCCTGCACGCCGATGAGAGAGCTTCGAAAGTATAAGATCTCCGTATGCATGGATAGTGCATTTTCGAAAAATTCCCACGATGTTTGAGATGCCTCCTGGAATGTTGCAGTTTTGGCAAGGTGCAAGCGTGATCCCGTGGCGTAGATTATATTCCTCAATGCGTACCAGGCAGGGTCTTCGCTGGTATCGAGGCCGTTCAGATGGGCACGCAGTCTCGACTCAAACCAAGACTGCTGCACAACCCCGAATCTGGCTGCCGGCGCTGCTTCGAAGAAACCTAGTGTCGCGAGGATCAGCATTCTCCGGCACAAGACGAAGATGAAAGTCTCACATCTCGCATACACGCAGGCGTCATTTGCGCTCGGCTCGGGGGCACGAACGGGGGACATCCTCTTTTCCATCTTGAGCGGTCGCATTATTTCCCGTGTGAAGGTAATCGCAGATTCCTGGAATCCCGAGCATCCGCATCGATCCGTGACCCATTGGATGCCCGGCTTTGAACATATCGACAGAAAGGACCTCGGACCTGACAGCGTTGAGCAGCTAGTGTGAGAGACATCAGAATGACGGACTTACCGTGGTACTCGTAGTATGACTGATGCAAGATTAGCCTCGTCGGGCGGATGTGACAGTAACGTGGAAGCACCTACCGATTCGGCAGAATAGATACTGCTTCTCTCCTGTTTGTCAATACTACGCTCCTCCTGACCATCAGCCCTGACCCTCCCATCGTCATAGCGTGGTGATTTGATGGCTTCGCTCCGTGACCAGCCAGGTGAACTGTTTGTCGACTTGTCGACGATGCCGAACACGTGCGGGTCAGGCATTGGGGTGATTCTTGAGGTCGATATTGGGGTTTGCTGTTGAGAGGGACGGATTTCTGGTGGCGCATCAGGAGCTCCCATGGCATCCCGGCCCAGTGCCATTTCCGTGGTGGACGTGATCAAAGTGTCAGAAGTTGCAGTCGTGTATGTCTCCAAAGAAGCTCGCGAGGCACGCTCCAAGGTGATATCGCTGGCAAAAGCGGTCCTATGCTGTGCCGCAGTCATCTCGAATTCGTGCTGAGGTCGGAGGCTTGAAATTGAAGATTTACCTTGCTCGTCTGTAGTCTCGAGGATTTTGGTATTCTCTGTATTATTGCTGTTTGCCTGTAGTAAGGCTTCGAGTCTCGTCAGGAGCTCGGCTGATCTCTCTTGCTCCTTTTGTCTGTCTTTTGGCCTCACTCGCCGTGCTGAAGGCCAAGTGCAGGCTACATTGCGGTCCCGGCAATACACGCATGGATTGCCTCCATCACCTGGAAGCAGTCAGAAGCAATCAATATCGGGATCTCGGCTGCCTACATCGAACTTTTTTGACCCTGCAAAAGTTACAGGCAAGAGAACGTCTTGTCCTAGGCATGGCTTCTGAGGCCGAGACTGGCATCTGCGCTCTGTCCATCATGGCTTCTATCTGTGGAAGGGTAGACTGCGTGCTTCGTCAGTATTGACTTTATCGTTATCTTCTGCAATGCTCACAATACTAGGTGTGGAAGTGTAACGTAGAGATTGGTGTCAACGATGATCTGGGGGTCTTTGCCCCAGACTTCAGGGCCCCTTGGCGCACCCCTCACTTACGAACCGCCAAACCAACCTTTTTAACTTCCAGACATTAGGCGTTCTTGTTGGGAGTCAGTCAGAGCCAAAATAAGGCGGGCTCCATTTGACGGGGACTCTAAACGCTTTACAATACCGTGCATTAATGGTGCATGCTTCTGTAGCGTGGTGAATGTTATGAGCATGAAGCGCACGAAGTCTAGTAAGCATGGGGGCCACCCCAGAGTGCCTAAAGAATCGCCGGGTTGCGGGGACTAGGGGCGCTGATCGAGAGTATACGAGGTAGTTTGTACAGAGTACACAAGACACGACACTGCATAATTCTGGCAACCTCGGGACAAGGCGCAGCGCCGAGGCCTGGAAGCCTCCTGGGTGCCTCCCACCCACCTCCAGTACATGGTCTGTGATAACATAAGCCTGGGTCAACCGACACTCGGGGGGATTTAAGATCAAGTGGCTTGGCGTAATGGCCTTAGAGTTCATCGAGCCTCGCCACTAACCTTGCGAAATCGTCTACAAGACACTCCAAATATGCGGGAACAGGCTTCCTCTCATGAAGATTCGCACCAACCCCTGGTAAGTTACCCGTGATCCCTCTGATATCGCACCACAGATCGTCTAGATCGACCAGCTTGACCACTTCGCCCAAGACCTTCTGAGCATCAGTCGAAGACCTCACAGGACGCGGTGAGGCACGGCGTTTTTAGGGACTGGCAGATAAGCATGGCAGGCGCGCAAGTACACCTCGGTAGCGGATACGCTCAAATACGTCTCGGGCGGTCCTCCTGGGACTCGTTGATCAAGTCGAGGAACGCGAAGACCATGTCTCTCGCATCTGTGCTCTCCCACGATTGGAAGAAGTAGATGATGTTTTCAGAGGTACCGGGTACCTTTTTCGTTTGGCTCTCTGCGACGTGATGTGGTCGAATCGTGTTATTCCATTTCCCATTTAGGCTGCCGTGTACCTCCTCATGTTGGGTCCAGGTTCTTTCTGAAGGAGCATTGCATAGAGAAGCCGAAACTCTCCCCAAGAGATGTAGGCATTTCCACAGTACAGAATAGTGTCTTTGGCAAGGATGCACTCTTGAACGATCCACGCACTGCGCCAGTAGGTTCTATCAACCAGGCCCATCATTGTTTCCTTGAGCGATGTCAACTGCAATTTGAAATAAACATGGGTGCTGATTCAAATCGCGGACTCAATATCGTAGCTGATGGTTCTTCTAGGCCCTACCTTTGTTAAGGCTTTAAATAAGGTATCTGTGGGCAAATCCCCTGGTCTAAGCTAAGCCAGGACACATTCAGCGGTCTTGAATATTATCTCCGTCATCATGACCTGCTGAGATTTTCGCTTGGCTGTTCTTGGTCGATGCACAACGCATCCACAAAGAGAAGCCTCGGTGCATCAGGGCACCGCAGCTTTTTGAGAGCAGCGGCGAGATTAGGTTGTAGGGAAATACTAGTATTTCTAGTAACATGCTCTCCGTTTATTGTCTTAATTTACTGGGCTTGCTGGGACAGCCCCTGCGGTAGCTCCCATTATACGGCAGCGGCTCATAGTTGGGCTGCTGGCTCAGCTGTGCTATAATGAGAGTAGCCTCGATTTCTTCATTTACTCCATCGGCATGAAGAGAAAGCAGCCTGAATGAGTCACCATCATCAGGAATGGGCTGCCAGGCTGAGCTTGCCCTCCTAAAAGGATTATGCTAGCTCACGATGAAAGAAACTTTCTCCTCATGTCTAAGGTACCGTCCACGACAGTGTTGTACTCACCCATAATGTCGCTATCATTATCCAGAAGTCGACTGGCGTCGAAGTTCGATCGTGCTTCGGGCATTGTCGGGGAATCTTGCAAGAATCAGCAGGAAGCAATTACTAATTTGATCTACTGGACCTCGTCGTCCTACACCTCTCTTACGAGTCGTTTTAACCGACGCCGTCCTCGCTAACTATAACCCGCCCTTTATAGTCTATTCCTCGGATCTATCTATCAGTCTCTGTGTGGAATGTCATGAGGTACTAGTAGGAAGTGGGGAGGGTAACCGAGGCTTCTACTTCATTCCGCATATATCAAAGTAGAGGATAAATAGAGAGCTGTCAAGACTGCATCATTAACTATCAAGTCATATACACATCGATACTATAAGCTCGCATAACGCATTTTACCATCGGAGAGCCTTCAATATGATCAAGCTCGTCTATGTTATTGAGAGACGTCCAGATATGCCAGAGAAAGTCTTCTACGATTATTGGCTGAACAAACATGGACCGTTAGTTCGTCGCCATGCGAAAGCAATTCGCGCCAAGAAATACGTGCAAAGCCATATAATCGAGACACCGATCAACGAGGCGCTACGCAGCGCCCGCAATATGCTCGGTCCAGTTGCGGGGATCACAGAAGTGTGGTGGGATAGTGTCGAGGATTTCCAAGCAGGCCTTTCAACACCTGAGGGACAAGCCGCTGCTGCTGAGTTATCGGCTGACGAGGACAAATTTATCGATGTCAAGAAGTCCCGCGTGTTCATGACGAAAGAACATGTCATCTTCGACTACACCGACAAGAAGCCCTTGGGAGGCCAGACTATCAAGTGTACCTACCTGTTGACGAGGCGAGACAACCTCAGTCAAGAAGCATGCCATAAGACGTGGCTAGAAGATCATGGGCCATTCGTGAATCAATTTGCGGATGTGTCAAATATGACTAAGTATATACAGAGTCATACGATCGCCCCTGAGCTTAATGCCAGTATCGGCAAAGGTCGTGGGCTAGCAGCGCCACTTGATGGGATCACAGAAGTGTGGTTCGACGACCCAGGCAAGAGTCAGGCCACAGAGGAAGCTCAGAAGGCGGCTGATGAAGCTATGGTTAAAGATGAAAGGCGGTTTGTTAATATGGGCACGTCACACTGCTTCATCACAAAGGAGTATGTTATTTTTGACTGCTCTAACAGTGTCAGCTCAGCAGCATTGTGAGGGTAGTTCTATATAAGAGGAAATAAATGCCTCTACGAACCCCCTTCGTGTCAGCGCTGCTTCCTATATGGCCTAACGGGGTTAGGCTTCTTAGTTACAGTTCCTTAGTTATATAAGCTAGGTCGAGAGTACGTAAGGTATAAATAGTCATATAACTTTAGAATAGTATAGTAAAGTATATATTATAAGTTAACTACGCGAGAGTGTAACTATAAAAGGGTAATGAGCGTAGCTATATACTTATAAGGTATTGTCACGAACCGCCAAGCATAACCTACACGTGACAACCCCTTATTATTTAAGTACCGCATGCTCACCGCCTGAGGGAAGCTTCCTTCCCTCATGCTTTAAGTTTCAGTTAAGATATACTATTAAGGAATACCTATACCTACCTACACCGATCGCTACCCTCCGCCTATCTCCATAGGCCGTTCCTGACATTCTCAAAGCATCCCTCAAGATCGGTCGGAGGGAGCGACGTCCCGGCGCGTCGTACGCGGTACGATAGCGCCTAAGAGGGCGACCCGCTAGGAGCCTTATATAGAGGGAGGACCGTCATAACCTACTACGGGGAGCTTAACGGAACCTATAATGTAAAACGACCCTACCCCCGACGAAGAAGGGGATATAGACGACGACCGCGAATCGTAGCCGGGTCGCGTAATACCCGCAGTAGAAGAGTTAGATATAAACCCCGAGGCGGACTTAGAGCTATAGGCGCTCTTCCGGAAAAGAGCCCTACTAGTAGATACCCTTAAGAGGTAAAGATTAAGGCTCGAGATCGAAGCGATAGAAGTAGAGGTCGTAGGAGAAACTCCTACGGTATACGCGGAGGTAGAAGGTACCTCGCTACCGACTCGTAAGCGACCCTACCGTAATTCGTCCCTAGATAAAGATCGCGACGAACTATAAAGAGTAATACGTATAGTTAAGCCTAAACTCTTTACGAGTAAGTCTATATAGTAACTCTACGCCTTCGATAGTAGCTAGTAGACGATCTTCGAGTCGCTAGCGAGCGACGTAGTCCCGGACTGGCCGTAGCGCATCCGGACCGCAGCTAATTATCTCGAGGGCCGCGCCCTTAACGAATGGCGACGAGACCGGCGGGAAGGAAACCCCATCCCGCTAATATAGGACCTCTTTATCTCGTAGTATAAGGATATAATCGAAGACGCCGACGTCCGTAAGGGAGAAGCACTTAAAAAGCTAGGAACCCTTAAGTAAGCCGTATTATAATCGGTTAGAGACCTAGTATATAAAATGATACTATTAGAGGATGAAGTCGGCCCTCTTACCGAGGACGAGAGAAAGGACTAGGTACTATTCTACGCTCTAGCGCCTCGCCTACGAGACGTAGTTCGGTAGGACCTTAAGACTATTACGTCGCGAGCTTAGGTCCTCGCCTCGGTATAGAGGCTCGAAACAGTAGTCTTAAAGGAAAGGTAAGCGGAGCGTACGTAGTCAGCGCGCTCTACGCCTACTAG